CTTGAACCGTGAGTGCCACACATGCATGGGAACCGGTCAGGGAGTGACCAAGACCGATGGTCATGCTACAGTCCAATTTCCTCTGTGAGATAGAAGAACCTTCCAGAAGGACAACCATCTCTGCAGCACTCCACCAATCAGGCCTTTATGGTAGACTGGCCAGATGGAAGCCACTCCTCAGTAAAAGGCACATGACAACCCGCTTGGAGTTTGCCAAAAGGCACCTAAAGACTCTCAGACAAGATTATCTGGTCTGATGAAACCAAGACTGAACTCTTTGGCCTGAATGCCAAGCATCACGTCTGGAGGAAACCTGGCACTATCCCTACAGTAAAGCATGGTGGTGGCAGCATCATGCTGTGGGGAATTTGTTCAGTGGCAGGGACTGGGAGACTAGTCAGGATCGGGGGAAAGATGAACGGAGCAAAGTACAGAGAGATCGTCGATGGACAAGTCTCTGAATGTCTTTGAGTGGCCCATCCAGAGCCCGGACTTGAACCCAATCGAACATCTCTGGAGAGACCTGAAAATAGCTGTGCAGCGACGCTCCCCAAAATCTCACGATACATGGCCCCATTCATTATTTCCTTTACACGGATCAGTCGTCCTGGTCCCTTTGCAGAAAAACAGCCCCAAAGCATGATGTTTCCACCCCCATGCTTCACAGTAGGTATGGTGTTCTTTGGATGCAACTCAGCATTCTTTGTCCTCCAAACACGACGAGTTGAGTTTTTACCAAAAGTTCTATTTTGGTTTCATCTGACCATATGACATTCTCCCAATCCTCTTCTGGATCATCCAAATGCACTCTAGCAAAACTTCAGACGGGCCTGGACATGTACTGGCTTAAGCAGGGGGACACGTCTGGCACTGCAGGATTTGAGTCCCTGGCGGCGTAGTGTGTTACTGATGGTAGGCTTTGTTACTTTGGTCCCAGCTCTCTGCAGGTCATTCACTAGGTCCCCCCGTGTGGTTCTGGGATTTTTGCTCACCGTTCTTGTGATCATTTTGACCCCACGGGGTGAGATCTTGCGTGGAGCCCCAGATCGAGGGAGATTATCAGTGGTCTTGTATGTCTTCCATTTCCTAATCATTTGTCCCAAAGTTGATTTCTTCAAACCAAGCTGCTTACCTATTGCAGATGCAGTCTTCCCAGCCTGGTGCAGGTCTACAATTTTGTTTCTGGTGTCCTTTGACAGCTCTTTGGTCTTGGCCATAGTGGAGTTTGGAGTGTGACTGTTTGAGGTTGTGGACAGGTGTCTTTTATACTGATAACAAGTTCAAACAGGTGCCATTAATACAGGTAATGAGTGGAGGACAGAGGAGCCTCTTAAAGAAGAAGTTACAGGTCTGTGAGACCAGAAATCTTGCTTGTTTGTAGGTGACCAAATACTTTTTTTTTTGCAAATAAATTCATAAAAAATCCTACAATGTGATTTTCTGGATTTTTTTTCTCAATTTGTCTGTCATAGTTGACGTGTACCTATGATGAAAATTACAGGCCTCTCTCATCTTTTTAAGTGGGAGAACTTGCACAATTGGTGGCTGACTAAATACTTTTTTCCCCCACTGTACACCTACCCTTCCCTCTCTATTAGAACTATACAGCTACACTTACCCATCCCTCTCTATTAGAACTATACAGCTACACTTACCCTTCCCTCTCTATTAGAACTATACAGCTACACTTACCCATCCCTCTCTATTAGAACTATACAGCTACACTTACCCTTCCCTCTCTATTAGAACTATACAGCTACACTTACCCATCCCTCTGTATTAGAACTATACAGCTACACTTACCCTTCCCTCTCTATTAGAACTATACAGCTACACTTACCCTTCCCTCTCTATTAGAACTATACAGCTACCCTTACCCTTCCCTCTCTATTAGAACTATACAGCTACACTTACCCTTCCCTCTCTATTAGAACTATACAGCTACACTTACCCTTCCCTCTCTATTAGAACTATACAGGTACACTTACCCTTCCCTCTCTATTAGAACTATACAGCTACACTTACCCTTCCCTCTCTATTAGAACTATACAGCTACACTTACCCTTCCCTCTCCATCTATACAACTACACTTACCCTTCCCTCTCTATTAGAACTATACAGCTACACTTACCCTTCCCTCTCTATTAGAACTATACAGCTACACCTACCCTTCCCTCTCTATTAGAACTATACAGCTACACTTACCCTTCCCTCTCTATTAGAACTATACAGGTACACTTACCCTTCCCTCTCTATTAGAACTATACAGCTACACTCACCCTTCCCTCTCTATTAGAACTATACAGCTACACTTACCCTTCCCTCTCTATTAGAACTATACAGCTACACCTACCCTTCCCTCTCTATTAGAACTATACAGCTACACTTACCCTTCCCTCTCTATTAGAACTATACAGCTACACTTACACTTCCCTCTCTATTAGAACTATACAGCTACACTTACCCGTCCCTCTCTATTAGAACTATACAGGTACACTTACCCTTCCCTCTCTATTAGAACTATACAGCTACACTTACCCTTCCCTCTCTATTAGAACTATACAGTTACACTTACCCTTCCCTCTCTATTAGAACTATACAGCTACACTTACCCTTCCCTCTCTATTAGAACTATACAGCTACACCTACCCTTCCCTCTCTATCAGAACTATACAGCTACACTTACCCTTACCTCTCTATTAGAACTATACAGTTACACTTACCCTTCCTTCTCTATTAGAACTATGCAGCTACACTTACCCTTCCCTCTCTATTAGAACTATACAGCTACACTTACCCTTCCCTCTCTATCAGAACTATACAGCTACACTTACCATTACCTCTCTATTAGAACTATACAGTTACACTTACCCTTCCTTCTCTATTAGAACTATGCAGCTACACTTACCCTTCCCTCTCTATTAGAACTATACAGCTACACTTACACTTCCCTCTCTATTAGAACTATACAGCTTCACCTACCCTTCCCTCTCCATCTATACAGCTACACTTACCCTTCCCTCTCTATTAGAACTATACAGCTACACTTACCCTTCCCTCTCTATTAGAAGTATACAGCTACACTTACCCTTCCCTCTCTATTATAACTATACAGGTACACTTACCCTCCCCTCTCTATTAGAACTATACAGCTACACTTACCCTTCCCTCTCCATCTATACAGCTACACTTACCCTTCCCTCTTTATTAGAACAATACAGCTACACTTACCCTTCCCTCTCTATTAGAACTATACAGCTACACTTACCCTTCCCTCTGTATTAGAACTATACAGCTACACTTACCCTTCCCTCTGTATTAGAACTATACAGCTACACTTACCCTTCCCTCTCTATTAGAACTATACAGCTACACTTACCCTTCCCTCTCTATTAGAACTATACAGCTACACTTACCCTTCCCTCTCTATTATAACTATACAGCTACACTTACCCTTCCCTCTCCATCTATACAGCTACACTTACCCTTCCCTCTCTATTATAACTATACAGCTACACTTACCCTTCCCTCTCCATCTATACAGCTACCCTTACCCTTCCCTCTCTATTAGAACTATACAGCTACACTTACCCTTCCCTCTCTATTAGAACTATACAGCTACACTTACCCTTCCCTCTCCATATATACAGCTACACTTACCCTTCCCTCTCTATTAGAACTATACAGCTACACTTACCCTTCCCTCTCTATTAGAACTATACAGCTACACCTACCCTTCCCTCTCTATTAGAACTATACAGCTACACTTACCCTTCCCTCTGTATTAGAACTATACAGCTACACTTACCCTTCCCTCTCCATCTATATCAGTACACTTACCCTTTCCCCCTCTATTAGAACTATACAGCTACACTTACCCTTCCCTCTCTATTAGAACTATACAGCTACACTTACCCTTCCCTCTCTATTAGAACTATACAGCTACACTTACCCTTCCCTCTCTATTAGAACTATACAGCTACACTTACCCTTCCCTCTCTATTAGAACTATACAGCTACACTTACCCTTCCCTCTCCATATATACAGCTACACTTACCCTTCCCTCTCTATTAGAACTGTACAGCTACACTTACCCTTCCCTCTCTATTAGAACTATACAGCTACACTTACCCTTCCCTCTCTATTAGAACTATACAGCTACACTTACCCTTCCCTCTCCATCTATACAGCTACACTTACCCTTCCCTCTCTATTAGAACTATACAGCTACACTTACCCTTCCCTCTCTATTAGAACTATACAGCTACACTTACCCTTCCCTCTCTATTAGAACTACACAGCTACACTTACCCTTCCCTCTCTATTAGAACTATACAGCTACACTTACCCTTCCCTCTCTATTAGAACTATACAGCTACACTTATCCTTCCCTCTCTATTAGAACTATACAGCTACACTTACCCTTCCCTCTCTATTAGAACTACACAGCTACACTTACCCTCCCCTCTCTATTAGAACTATACAGCTACACTTACCCTTCCCTCTCTATTAGAACTATACAGCTACACTTACCCTTCCCTCTCTATTAGAACTACACAGCTACACTTACCCTTCCCTCTCTATTAGAACTATACAGCTACACTTATCCTTCCCTCTCTATTAGAACTATACAACTACACTTACCATTCCCTCTCTATTAGAACTACACAGCTACACTTACCCTTCCCTCTCTATTAGAACTATACAGCTACACTTACCCTTCCCTCTCTATTAGAACTATACAGCTACACATACCCTTCCCTCTCTATTAGAACTATACAGGTACACTTACCCTTCCCTCTCTATTAGAACTATACAGCTACACTTACCCTTCCCTCTCTATTAGAACTATACAGCTACACTTACCCATCCCTCTCCATCTCCTCTGTGTTGAAGGCAAAGACCTAGGGTTGGACAACACAGACAGACAGATGAATCACGCTATAAGGTTTTTGCTTTCAAGGATATACACTTTCATTACCAAGTGATAGAGGAGATATTCTGGATCATTCTGGTCAGTATTGGCTCATGCATTTTCTGTGTGTCACAGTGGCTGGTTTAACTGTTGTCTCCAAGAGTGTCTCTCACCTGTCCAGTCCTCTGCAGGTGCCCAAAGTGGACGTCTGGGATGAACAAGACAGGCTGGGTGTCCAGGTTAGAGACGGACTTGAAGAACACTGTGTCTTGCTTCCTGTTCAATGCTACCAGGCTCCCATCCTTACCTGGACCGCGGGAGGGAAACAACATGCACGGTTACTCATAGTTAGTCTACATAGAACAAAAACGTCTGCACACCTAATTTCACAGGTACACAGGTGCGTAGGAAAATCGAAACTGAAGTCTGACATCAGTTGATTCAGATTCATGCAACCATCATCCACCTTCCCAGCTGCACCAGTCTGAACCCCTAATCATAGCTTCCTGTTGAATCCAGACAGGTACTCTCTTTACTGCAGGAGAACTTTACCGGCATGTTCTTTACTATTATCTCCATGGAAACTACTTATCTGACCTTTGGGCTTCATCCGGATCTGCTTCCTCACCTCATCACGGATTCTCCGTTCTGCTCCCTGTGGAATGGATGGGATGATTAATACCAGGGATTAATACTGAGATATGGAAACATGGCCTATGGAATTTGGTGAACCATCAACGCTTTTTTATTTTAATCAAAATAGGCCCAAATACACTATATATACAAAAGGTATGTGGACACCCCTTCAAATTAGTGGATTCGGCTATTTCAGCCACACCCGTTGCTGACAGGTGTATAAAATCGAGCACACAGCCATGCAATCTCCATAGACAAACATTGGCAGTAGAATTGCCTTACTGAAGAGCTCAGTGACTTTCAACGTGGCACTGTCACAGGATGCCACCTTTCCAACAAGTCAGTTTGTCAAATTTCTGCCCTGCTAGATCTGCCCCAGTCAACTGTAAGTGTTGTTATTGTGAAGTGGAAACATCTAGAAGCAACAACGACTCAGCCGCGAAGTGGTAGGCCAAAGAAGCTCACAGAACTGGACTGCCGAGTGCTGAAGCGCGTAGCGCGTAAAAATCGTCTGTCCTCGGTTGCAACACTCACTACCGAGTTCCAAACTGCCTCTGGAAGCAACGTCAGTACAAGAACTGTTCGTCGGGAGCTTCATGAAATGGGTTTCCATGGCCAGGCAGCCACACACAAGCCTTAGATCACAAAAACGCAATGTGAAGCGTCGGCTGGAGGGGTGTAAAGCTCGCTGCCATTGGACTCTGGAGCAGTGGAAACACGTTCTCTGGAGTGATGAATCACGCTTCACCATCTGGCAGTCCGACGGACGAATCTGGGTTTGGTGGATGCCAGAAGAACGCTACCTGCCCCAATGCATAGTGCCAACTGTAAAGTTTGGTGGAGGAGGAATAATGGTCTGGGGCTGTTTTTCATGGTTCGGGCTAGGCCCCTTAGTTCCAGTGAAGGGAAATCTTAACGCTACAGCATACAATGACATTCTAGACGATTCTGTGCTTCCAACTTTGTGGCAACAGTTTGGGGAAGGCCCTTTCCTGTTTCAGCATGACAAAGTGAGGTCCATACAGAAATGGTGTGGAAGAACTTGACTAGCCTGCACAGAGCCCTGACCTCAACCCCATCGATCACCTTTGGAATGAATTGGAATGCCAACTGTGAGCCAGGCCTAATCGCCCAACATCAGTGCCCGACCTCACTAATGCTCTTGTGGCTGAATGGAAGCAAGTCCACGCAGCAATGTTCCAACATCTAGAGGAAAGCCTTCCCAGAGTGGAGGCTGTTATAGCAGCAAAGGGGAGGACCAACTCCATATTAATAGACGCCCCATAGAGCGCCGAAACAGGATTGTGTCGAGGCACAGATCTGGGGAAGGGTACCAAAACATTTCTGCAGCATTGAAGGTCTCCAAGAACACAGTGGCCTCCAACATTCTTAAATGGAAGAATTTTGGAACCACCAAGACTCTTCCTAGAGCTGGCCACCCGGACAAACTGAGTAATGAGGGGAGAAGGGCCTTGGTCAGGGAGGTGACCAAGAACCCAATGGTCACAGACAGAGCTCCAGAGTTCCTCTGTGGAGATGGGAGAACCTTCCAGAAGGACAACCATCTTTGCAGCACTCCACCAATCAGGCCTTTCAGGTAGAGTGGTCAGACGAAAGCCACTCCTCTGTAAAAGGCACATGACAGCCCGCTTGGAGTTTGCCAAAAGGCACCTAAAGACTCTCAGACCATGAGAAACAAGATTCTCTGGTCTGATGAAACCAAGATTGAACTCTTTGGCCTGAATGCCAAGCATCACATCTGGAGGAAACCTGGCAGCATCCCTACGGCGAACCATGGTGGTGGCAGCATCATGCTGTGGGGATGTTTTTCAGCGGCAGGGACTGGGAGACTAGTCAGGATCAAGGGAAAGGTGAACGGAGCAAAGTTCTGACAGATCCTTGATGAAAACCTGGACTTGAACCCAATCTAATATCTCTGAAAATAGCTGTGCAGCGACACTCCCCATCCAACCAGACAGAGCTTGAGAGGATCTGCAGAGAAGAATGGGAGAAACTCCCCAAATACAGGTGTGCCAAGCTTGTAGCGTCATACCCAAGAAGACTTGAGGCTGTAATCGCTGCCAAAGGTGCTTCAACAAAGTACTGAGTAAAGGGTTATTTTTAGTACAGTTACAAAGATTTCTAAAAACCTGTTTTTGCTTTGTCATTATGGGGCATTGTGTGTATGATAAAGGGAAAAAAACCATTTAATCAATTTTAGAATAAGGCTGTAACGTAACAAAATGTGGAAAAAGTCAAGGGGTCTGAATACTTTCCGAATGCACAGTCAAAAGTTTCGACACCTACTCATTCAAGGGTTTTTCTTTATTTTTACTATTTTCTACATTGTAGAATAATAGTGAAGACATCAAAACTATGAAATTGTGACACTCTGGCTCTAGGACTTTTGTATGTGAGCTAGAGTGTATGTTGTTTTGTTGGGGATTTGGGTGTTTTTCTATGTTGGTAGTTCTGTCGGGTGTATTTCTATGTTTGCAGGTCTGTGGGTTGTTTTTCTAGGTGGTTGTATGTTGTAGTCAATGACTCCCAATCGGAGGTAACGAGTGTCAGCTGTCGGCTCGTTATCTCTGATTGGGAGCCATATTTAAACTGTCAGTTTTCACCTTTGTTTTGTGGGTTATTGTTCCTGTTCCAGTGTTCTATGTTCTGTCGGTGTCACAGAGGACTTAACGTATCGTCATTTGTTGTTTTCTCGTGTTGTGCTTTATTTAATAAAAGTCATCATGTTCACTCGCAACGCTGCGCATTGGTCCGCTCCTTTAGACGATCGTGACAGAATAACCCACCATAAAAGGACCAAGCAGCGTGTACAGGAGCAAAGAGACTGGACATGGGTGGAGGCGCCGGGTAAGGAGATCGAGAGGCTGGCGATGGCCCAGGTGGGCAAATCGTGGTCCTGGGAGGACATGCTCGGGGGCAAGGGACCTTGGGGGAAGATCAAGGCCCTGGCGAGAGAGGAGCATCGGCGGCAGCAGGTTTTTCGTCGGAAGGACGAGAGGCAACCCCAAGAAATTTTTTGGGGGGGGCACATGGCTTGGGCAGCTGGGCAGCAGGAGGCTGCCACAGGGAGAAAAGGAGAGAAGGCTAACGGAGTACGGGAGTCATTGGCGAGTAGAAGGAGGGAAGTGTGTGTGGCACGGCGTGAAGGACTGATGTGTGTTGCCAGTCCGGTCCGGCCCGTTCCTGATCCTCGGTTGAGGCCAGTGGTGTGTGTTCCCGGTACGGACCGGCCTGTTCCTACTCCAAGCACCAGGTCCACGGTGTGCTTTGCCAGTCCGGTCCGGCCTATTCCGGCCACTCGCACCAGGGATGCGGTGCGCGTCGCCAGCCCGGCCCGGCCTGTTCCGGCCACTCGCACCAGGGATACGGTGCGCGTCGCCAGCTCAGCCCGGCCTGTTCCTACTCCACGCACCAGGGATACGGTGCGCTTCGCCAGCCCAGCCCGGCCTGTTCCTACTCCACGCACCAGGGATACGGTGCGCTCCGCCAGCCCGGCCCGGCCTGTTCCGGCCACTCGCACCAGGGATACGGTGCGCGTCGCCAGCCCAGCCCGGCCTGTTCCTGCTCTCCGCACTAGGCGTGAGGTGAGTCCCCAGGGTCCAGCATGCCCTGTTCCGGCTCCCCGCACTAGGCGTTATGGGAGTCCCCAGGGTCCAGCATGCCCTGTTCCGACTTCCCGCACTAGCCCTGAGATGCGTGTCCTCAGCCCGGTACCTCCAGTTCCGGCACCACGCATCAGGCCTACGGTGCGTCCCCAGGGCCAAGCATGCCCTGTTGCTGCTTCCCGCACTAGCCCTGAGATGCGTGTCCTCAGCCCGGTACCTCCAGTTCCGGCACCACGCATCAGGCCTACGGTGCGTCCCCAGGGTCCAGCATGCCCTGTTGCTTCTCCCCGCACTAGCCCTGAGATGCGTGTCCTCAGCCCGGTACCTCCTGTTCCGGCACCACGCACCAGGCCTACGATGCGCCTCAGACGGCCAGAGTCTGCCGTCTGCCCAACGGGGCCTGAACTGCCCGTCTGCCCAAAGCCTGCAAAGCCGCCCGTCTGCCATGAGCCATCAGAGCCGTCCGCCAGACCGGAGCCGCTAGAGCCTTCCGCCAGACAGGATCAGCCAGAGCCTTCCGCCAGACAGGATCAGCCAGAGCCTTCTGCCAGACAGGATCAGCCAGAGCCTTCTGCCAGACAGGATCAGCCAGAGCCTTCTGCCAGACAGGATCAGCCAGAGCCTTCCGCCAGACAGGATCAGCCAGATCCGTCAGTCGGCCATGAGCAGCCAGATCCGTCAGCCAGCCATGAGCAGCCAGATCCGTCAGCCAGCCATGAGCAGCCAGATCCGTCAGCCAGCCATGAGCAGCCAGATCCGTCAGCCAGCCATGAGCAGCCAGATCCGTCAGCCAGCCATGAGCAGCCAGATCCGTCAGCCAGCCATGAGCAGCCAGATCCGTCAGCCAGCCATGAGCCGTCCAGCCAGGATCCGCCAGAGCCGTCCAGCCGGGATCCGCCAGAGCCGTCCAGCCGGGATCCGCCAGAGCCGTCCAGCCGGGATCCGCCAGAGCCGTCCAGCCGGGATCCGCCAGAGCCGTCCAGCCAGGATCCGCCAGCCAGCCAGGATCCGCCAGAGCCAGCCAGCCAGGATCCGCCATTTAGTCAGGTGCTGCCCCTTAGCTCGGTGTTGCTCCTTATCCTGGTGCTGTCCCTTATCCTGGTGCTGTCCCTTAGCCTGGTACTGCCCCTTAGTCCGGTACTGCCCCTTAGTCCGGTACTGCCCCGTAGTCCGGTGCTGCCCCGTAGTCCGGTGCTGCCCCTTAGTCCGGTGCTGCCCCTTATCCCGGTGCTGCCCCTTATCCCGGTGCTGCCCCTTAGGCCGATGCTGCCCCTTAGTCCGGTGTTGCCCCTTAGTCCAGGTGGGGTTAGTTGGAGGGTGGTCATTGGGAGGAGGCTACCGAAGCAGGTTGTGACTGTGGTGGGGTGGGGATCACGACCGGGGCCAGAGCCGCCACCGTGGACAGACGCCCACCCAGACCCTCCCCTAGTCCTGATGTTGGTGCGCCCGGAGTTCGCACCTTTAGGGGGGGGTACTGTGACACTCTGGCTCTAGGACTTTTGTATGTGAGCTAGAGTGTATGTTGTTTTGTTGGGGATTTGGGTGTTTTTCTATGTTGGTAGTTCTGTCGGGTGTATTTCTATGTTTGCAGGTCTGTGGGTTGTTTTTCTAGGTGGTTGTATGTTGTAGTCAATGACTCCCAATCGGAGGTAACGAGTGTCAGCTGTCGGCTCGTTATCTCTGATTGGGAGCCATATTTAAACTGTCAGTTTTCACCTTTGTTTTGTGGGTTATTGTTCCTGTTCCAGTGTTCTATGTTCTGTCGGTGTCACAGAGGACTTCACGTATCGTCATTTGTTGTTTTCTCGTGTTGTGCTTTATTTAATAAAAGTCATCATGTTCACTCGCAACGCTGCGCATTGGTCCGCTCCTTTTGACGATCGTGACAGAAATAACACATATGGAATCATGTAGTAACCAAAAAAGTGTTAAACATATACAAATATATTTTATATTTGAGTTTCTTCAAAGTATCCACCCGTTGCCTTGATGACAGCTTTGCACACTCTTTTTTGGTTACTACATGATTCCATATGTTATTTTATAGCTTTGATGTCTTCACTATTCTAAAATGTAGAAAATAGTACAAATAAATAAAAACCCTTGAATGAGTAGGTGTGTCCAAACTTTTGACTGGTACTGTATGTGTGTATGTATGTGTGTGTGTGTGTATATATATATATATATATATAACATATCCATTATCATGCTCAAACCTGGAAAAACACTATTAAAGCGATATAAAAACACTATAAATTCCCTTTTCAGCCCACCTCACATCTCCCCAGTCCACAACCAGTCCAGCCCACTTCACATCTCCCAACCCCCAGTCCAGCCCATCTCCAATCTCCCCACCCAACCCCCAGTCCAGCCCACCTCCCATCTCCCCAGCCCACCCCAGTACAGCCCACCTCACATCTCCCCAGCCAACCCCCAGTCCAGCCCACCTCCCATCTGAAAGAAGGCTCTGTGGAGGGTTAGGGTTACAGGTCAGAGAGAGAAACTCATCTTGTCACAGAAGACCTTGATCTCAGAGAAGGCTCTGTGGAGGGTTAGGGTTAGAGGTCAGAGAGAGAGACTCACCTTGTCACAGAAGACCTTGATCTCAGAGAAGGCTCTGTGGAGGGTTAGGGTTAGAGGTCAGAGAGAGAGACTCACCTTGTCACAGAAGACCTTGATCTCAGAGAAGGCTCTGTGGAGGGTTAGGGTTAGAGGTCAGAGAGAGAGACTCACCTTGTCACAGAATACCTTGATCTCAGAGAAGGCTCTGTGGAGGGTTAGGGTTAGAGGTCAGAGAGAGAGATTCACCTTGTCACAGAAGACCTTGATCTCAGAGAAGGCTCTGTGGAGGGTTAGGGTTAGAGGTCAGAGAGAGAGACTCACCTTGTCACAGAAGACCTTGATCTCAGAGAAGGCTCTGTGGAGGGTTAGGGTTAGAGGTCAGAGAGAGAGACTCACCTTGTCACAGAAGACCTTGATCTCAGAGAAGGCTCTGTGGAGGGTTAGGGTTAGAGGTCAGAGAGAGAGACTCACCTTGTCACAGAAGACCTTGATCTCAGAGAAGGCTCTGTGGAGGGTTAGGGTTAGAGGTCAGAGAGAGAGATTCACCTTGTCACAGAAGACCTTGATCTCAGAGAAGGCTCTGTGTGTGGGTGTGTCGGAGCGGTGGTTATAGCTGTAGGTGTCTATCTGGATCATCAGAGGCATGCCCTTCACCCCCTTCTGGCAGGAGAACTCTGTACTCAGACAGTTGACTGTGATGAGTACCTGGTAGAGAGAAGACAGAGTACAGGTTACATCTATATGAAGTAGGGCTAGTATGATTACCGTATAACGGACGGTTATGGATGAAGAAAAAAAAACGTGTGGTTGAGTCCGTTTCTGCGATAACAACGTGATGAAACTTCGTTGCCCCTCGCTGAAACAAGCAAGGTATTGTAGCAAATGATGAGTGGAATTGGCTTGGAAACCTCTAACCCTGGCAGTTTGACTGGTAAACTCATGGGTACACTCGCAATGGCTGCCTGGTATTTTGATGCAACAATGTCCATGGTAATGTATAATGTTAATTCAAATTATGTTAACTGATGTGACTCTAATGCAATGGAATTAATTTTTTGTAATGTCAGTTGAGTTGAATCAACAAAACACGAACACTTCCTGCTTTTACTTCCTGCTTTACGTCCTGCTTTTACTTCCTGCTTTTACTTCTTTGCTCCTATAGATATACTCGCAATGGCCGCCAGTCCACCCAGTATGCCATCATTGACTTGAATGGGGACGCCCGTTCTATTCATTCTATTTATATGGCAGCACAACGGTTACAGTGGGGGAAAAAAGTATTTAGTCAGCCACCAATTGTGCAAGTTCTCCCACTTAAAAAGATGAGAGAGGCCTGTCATTTTCATCATAGGTACACGTCATCTATGACAGACAAATTGAGGAAAAAAAATCCAGAAAATCACATTGTAGGATTTTTAATGAATTTATTTGCAGATTATGGTGGAAAATAAGTATTTGGTCACCTACAAACAAGCAAGATTTCTGGCTCTCACAGACCTGTAACTTCTTCTTTAAGAGGCTCCTCTGTCCTCCACTCGTTACCTGTATTAATGGCACCTGTTTGAACTTGTTATCAGTATAAAAGACACCTGTCCACAACCTCAAACAGTCACACTCCAAACTCCACTATGGCCAAGACCAAAGAGCTGTCAAAGGACACCAGAAACAAAATTGTAGACCTGCACCAGGCTGGGAAGACTGAATCTGCAATAGGTAAGCAGCTTGGTTTGAAGAAATCAACTGTGGGAGCAATTATTAGGAAATGGAAGACATAAAAGACCACTGATAATCTCCCTCGATCTGGGGCTCCACGCAAGATCTCACCCCGTGGGGTCAAAATGATCACAAGAACGGTGAGCAAAAATCCCAGAACCACACGGGGGGACCTAGTGAATGACCTGCATAGAGCTGGGACCAAAGTAACAAAGCCTACCATCAGTAACACACTACGCCGCCAGGGACTCAAATCCTGCAGTGCCAGACGTGTCCCCCTGCTTAAGCCAGTACATGTCCAGGCCCGTCTGAAGTTTGCTAGAGTGCATTTGGATGATCCAGAAGAGGATTGGGAGAATGTCATATGGTCAGATGAAACCAAAATAGAACTTTTTGGTAAAAACTCAACTCGTCGTGTTTGGAGGACAAAGAATGCTGAGTTGCATCCAAAGAACACCATACCTACTGTGAAGCATGGGGGTGGAAACATCATGCTTTGGGGCTGTTTTTCTGCAAAGGGACCAGGACGACTGATCCGTGTAAAGGAAAGAATGAATGGGGCCATGTATCGTGAGATTTTGTGTGAAAACCTCCTTCCATCTGCAAGGGCATTGAAGATGAAACGTGGCTGGGTCTTTCAGCATGACAATGATCCCAAACACACCGCCCGGGCAACGAAGGAGTTGCTTCGTAAGAAGCATTTCAAGGTCCTGGAGTGGCCTAGCCAGTCTCCAGATCTTAACCCCATAGAAAATCTTTGTAGGGAGTTGAAAGTCTGTGTTGCCCAGCGACAGCCCCAAAACATCACTGCTCTAGAGGAGATCTGCATGGAGGAATGGGCCAAAATACCAGCAACAGTGTGTGAAAACCTTGTGAAGACTTACAGAAAACATTTGACCTGTGTCATTGCCAACAAAGGGTATATAACAAAGTATTGAGAAACTTTTGTTATTGACCAAATACTTATTTTCCACCATAATTTGCAAATAAATTCATTAAAAATCCTACAATGTGATTTTCTGGATTTTTTTTCTCATTTTGTCTGTCATAGTTGACGTGTACCTATGATGAAAATTACAGGCCTCTCTCATCTTTTTAAGTGGGAGAACTTGCACAATTGGTGGCTGACTAAATACTTTTTTCCCCACTGTATTACTGAGACCGTGGTCATTTGGCTGGCCAATTACAGTCATCCTAAATTCCGTGACCGTCACAGCCCTAATATGAAGTCAAACAAATATCACTTTTTCACGAAACAGTTTACGTAGGTTGTTGTTTTTGTCATTGTTCAGGAGCCACAATCTGCCAGGTCGTTAACTGTAGGTCATGTTGCCTAATAAAGAGTCACCACAACATCCTAGCTGTTTCCTGTATGAGGCATCGTATCTGAATGTGTCAACCACTGTTGAGTACTGGCAGGCCTAGAGGCTTGAGGCATCGTGTTAACCACTGCTGATTACTGACAGGCCTAGAGGCTTGAGGCATCGTGTTAACCACTGCTGGTTACTGACAGGCCTAGAGGCTTGAAACGATGGCGCCAGAGAAGATGGCTGCCGTTTTACAGCCTTCTAACCAATTGTACTATTATGTGTGTTTTTTTGACGATATTTGTAATTTATTCTATACATAATGTTTCTGCCACCGTCTCTTATGACCAAAAACAGCTTCTGGATATCAGGACAGCGATTACTCACCTCGTATTGGACGAATACTTTTTCTTCAACGAGTCGGACGTGAAGGATATCCTACAGACACCCGACAAGGCCCAAATCCCCGTCATTCGCATGAGAAAGAGACGGAGATATCGTGGACGTAGGTCGGGGTGCCTTGTAAGGATACGACGGCGAGCGAGTAAACTGCCTCTTCCATCAAGCCTATTAGCCAATGTCCAATCATTTGAAAACAAATTGGACGACCTAAGATTACGGTTATCCTACCAACGGGACATTAAAAACTGTAATATCTTATGTTTCACCGAGTCGTGGCTGATATACGCTACATCGGCAGGATAGAACGGCTGACTCCGGTAAGACAAGGGGTGGCGGTCTGTGTATATTTGTAAATGTCAACGGGTGCTGAAGGTGGGTGTGGTGTATGAATCAGGCGCAGGACGCAGAGGCTCAGTCCAAAGGCTTTAGTGCAATATTCACAAAAGACATAAGCACAATAAGCCCGAAGGCGAATACACGGCGCACACAGGCGACAAAACAAACGGCGCACTAACATGTGTAAAAGAACCTCTCCAAAACACTGGAGGGAAAATAGTAGCTCCAACACGAAACAGAAGAGCAATCACACACAAAGACACACACAACCAACGAGAACTAAATAGGACACTAACGAGGACTAACAAGACACAGGTGTACAACATCAAGACAAAACCAAACGAACATGAAACATAGATCGGTGGCAGCTAGTACTCCGGGGACGACGACCGCCGAAGCCTGCCCGAACCAGGAGGAGGAGCAGCCTCGGCCGAAACCGTGACAGTAAACAACAGCTGGTGCATAAAATCTAATACTAAGGAAGTCTCGAGGTTTTGCTCGCCTGTCGTAGCTGTCCATTTACGACCACAAACCGATGCTGTCATTAAGATTGCACTCAATGAGCTGTATAAGGCCATAAGTAAACAGGAAAACGCTCATCCAGAGGCAGTGCTCCTAGTGGCCGGGGACTTTAATGCAGGGAAACTTAAATCCGTTCTACCTAATTTCTACCAGCATGTTAAATGTGCAACCAGAGGAGAAAATAACTCTAGACCTTGCCCTCCATTTGGCAAATCTGACCATAATTATATCCTCCTGATTCCTGCTTACAAGCAAAAACTAAAGCAGGAAGCACCAGTGACTTGGTCAATAAAAAAGTGGTCAGATGAAGCAGATGCTAAACTACAGGACTGTTTTGCTAGCACAGACTGGAATATGTTCCGGGATTCTTCCGATGGCATTGAGGAGTACACCACATCAGTCACTGGCTTCATCAATAAGTGCATCGATGACGTCGTCCCCACAGTGACCGTACATACATACCCCAACCAGAAGCCATGGATTACAGGCAACATCCGCACTGAGCTGCCGCTTTTTTCAAGGAGCGGGACTCTAACCCGGACGCTTATAAGAAATCCTGCTATGCCCTCCGACGAACCATCAAACAGGCAAAGAGTCAATACAGGACTAAGATTGAATTGTACTACACCGGCTCTGATGCTCGTCGGATGTGGCAGGGCTTGAAAACTATTACAGACTACAAAAGGAAGCACAGCCGCGAGCTGCCCAGTGACACAAGCCTACCAGACGAGCTAAATCACTTCTATGCTCGCTTAAAGGCAAGCAACACTGAAGCATGCATGAGAGCATCAGCTGTTCCGGATGACTATGTGATCACGCTCTCCGTAGCCGATGTGAGTAGGACTTTTAAGCAGGTCAACATTCACAAGGCCGCAGGGCCAGACGGATTACCAGGACTTGTACTCCGATCATGCGCTGACCAACTGGCAAGTCTCTTCACTGACATTTTCAACATGTCCCTGACTGAGTCTGTAATAACAACATGTTTCAAGCAGACCACCATAGTCCCTGTGCCCAAGAACACTAAGATAACCTGCCTAAATGACTACCGACCCGTAGCACTCACGTCTGTAGCCATGAAGTGCTTTGAAAGGCTGGTCATGGCTCACATCAACACCATTATCCCAGAAACCCTAGACCCACTCCAATTTGCATACCGCCCCAACAGATCCACAGATGATGCAATCTCTATTGCACTCCACACTGCCCTTTCCCACCTGGACAAGAGGAACACCTACGTGAGAATGCTATTGATTGACTACAGGTCAGCGTTCAATACCATAGTGCCCTCAAAGCTCATCACTGAGCTAAGGACCCTGGGACTAAACACCTCCCTCTGCAACTGGATCCTGGACTTCCTGACGGGCCACCCCCAGGTGGTAAGGGTAGGTAACAACACATCTGCCACGCTGATCCTCAACATAG